AATATTAAATAAATAATTATATCACAATATAATGAGAAAAAAATTTAAATATAAATTTCAATGCTTTTTTCGACTAGCATTATTAATTTTTCTTAGTTTCTTCCAATTCCTGCATTCACAGTACCCTCATCTGTGCAGACATCCGCCATTCAAATTCACGCGGCAGAAACGGCGAAACCGCAAGACGTACGATCATGCCTAAGAAGAAGACGGAGTCGTGACAGAAAAGAAATATCAACGCTTATCGAGCGAATTATGAAGAAGTTGAATTATTGCTTTGTGGACGATAACAGATTGACTGTTCCGTACCATTATCCGGGGAATAGAAAACCCAGAAGAGTACAAGGAACAAATGCACTGCGCGACTTATCCGCGGCGAGTTACGTCGATTAAAAAACTATAATCATTTATATAAAAAAATCGAATAAAGATGTGAAATAACACATGTTGCAAAATAAAATATTATACTATATGGTATAATTTTAAACTTTTTAACGATCGGTCATAATGTAAAAATGTCTCACTTTGATCAGGAAATGTAGGGCAAATATTAAAAATTATAATAACGTTCAAAAAATTTGTGATTTTATTGATATTGTATCTTCAACTAGTTGGATACGATCTTAATAGTATATCGTCTATGCCTAAATCAGATTGAACGCATCATATCTAGATATTCATACATCGTGACAATTGACATATAGCTTTGAAAGTTTGACAGTATTGTGACTTTGAGGTTATTTAAATCTCTAAACTCTAAGTCATCTTATTCAAGTCATATTATTTACAAAATCGTGTTTTATTATATTGTATCATATAACGTAGATGTTATTATTATTACTTTTTCGAATAATTTTTTGGGTATAGCTATCCAAAAATAATATAGCTTTAATGCATTCGTTGAGTATCAAGAAGATAATGTTTTCCTTAACGGACGTCTTTTAAAATATTTCTTATATTCTGTGGAGTAACAATATAACTGCATTTGCGTCAACGAAAATGGCACTTGTCAATATAGAAGGAATCGACCCTTGGTAATTTATAATATATGTACTCTTTATGTATTCTTATATACATATATTTGGCTATTTATAACCTATATATATCACATTTTTGTTTACAAGTTTTAAATGATAATATTATCTCTATATATTTTGTAACTAGTTATTATATATTAACCAATTTAATTTTCAATTATCCCCTGCACTTAAAAATTTGATTAAATTCATGTGTCATTAGGCTTACGGAATATGACGCATGTGAAAAGTTGTTCCGTGAGATTATGGAGCAGCTTACTCTGCGTGAAGGAGAACCAAAGGCATCAAAGGTTTATGCCAGCTTGTCTGCCAATATAAGATTGCGTATGAAACAATATACACGAGAAGTTCAGCAATTAAAGAGCAAAGTGGAAGAAGCATCCAAATTAAGAACAATGTATCCTTTTATCTCTATATGTAATATGTATATATTAATTTTTTTATACTTTGGAGTGCTTTCAAATAATTTTGAATTGATAAATTCCTTAAAATGCAATTATATGATAGAACATTTGAGGAAGCTGAGCGGAGGACAAGGCAAGTGGAACAATTACAAAGTAAAAACATTCAGCTACAAAAATTGTATGAGCCGCATACAATTGATTACGTATCGTCGCGTGCTAGTTTATTAAGAGCAGGTTCATCAGTTTTCGCTGATGGTGGCACTACTTCTTGGGCTATTGATGATGATGATGATGATGATGACAAACCGTTAAATGTACAAGTATCTGTTGGTGATATTATGAATCATCAAGAGCAAATATTGAAAGGTAATAATTATATATATATACACACACAATTCTTAAAGAAAGAATTAACCACTATACACTTCTCATAATTTATAATTGTATAATTTCTTATAGAACAAGACAAAGGCTTAGAAGAGTTATGTAAAGTGATTACTCGTCAAAAGGAGATTGGACAAACTATTAACAATGAGGTGGATCATCAAAATGGTAAGTAGTATAATAGATTTTGTATTGAGATAATACATTTTTCCATGTAAAAATAGATCTTCCTTAAACTTATTTCCATTGTAATATAGAAATAATTGATGATTTGGCTGATCATATGGACAGGACTGATGAGTCTTTGATTAATAAAACTCAACAGGTCCGTAATATCCATTCCAAAGACCGTACATGTGGTTATTGGATAGTGATAATTATACTTTTTATTGGTATCATTGTTGTTGCTTTAGTATAAATTAGATTTTTAATAGATTATTTTAACTTTGTTTAATTGTCTATATCTAAAGTTTGCGAATTAGAAGCTTAAATATTTATAAATAAAGTAATGTAGTTTTAGTTGTAAAATAATATTTCTCAATTTCTCAATCGGATATTTAATATTGTGTACGAAATTTTTAATATGCTATGCTTTTTATTACAAATAATAAAATATAAAACCAAAATGTTAATTAAATATTCATATTTGTATCATTTATTAATATTAGAACATTTTAGCATTTTGGTATTATAAGTATATTATTTGAGATGTCCATTTTTTATATGTTATATACTGATAATATTATTTTAATTCTGTAAAATATTACCTAATTAAAAAGTTTCCAATTAATATTAAAAATAATATTAATCACATAGAATTTTATAAGAATATAGAAATATGAGTGACCAAGGAAAACTTGTCAGATGTTGGAAATGGGAAATAAAAATCAACAGTCTCAGAAGTATGGTATTACATATTTTGCATTTTTCTTTTTTATATCATAAATATCTATCCTGAATCTCTGGTTCTCCTTCTCTCTCTCTCTATGCGAACTTTCCCGGCGCTAGGGATATAAAGAAAAATTTACTATTGTTTCTCTGCACATGATCCGCATTTAAATTAAATATATCAAAGAATTGCTTTTTATGTACCATATATCCGCTTTCTCGGTTTCACCAACATTTATAACAGATATTATTTCAGCGCTTGTTTCAACATAATGTGTAATTGATAGAAGAAAGAAATGCCGTGACTCTTTCTTTCCTTTGTGAATCCGACGCAAAAAAACAGCATTGAATTATTATTACAATAAACGCGGTATTCAGCAGTTATCTATATATACGAGACATTAATTATTTAATTGGATTATGTATATGTATATATATTGGCATAAAATTGTTCTTCTTTTCAGCGGATATGTCACATTGTTTTGGATTTTACAAAACTGTCAGATTTCCCTTGTCTCGCAAAACTTATTTTTAATAGTTTTACTAGTCGCGCCGAGCATATGTCGCTCTCTCTTTCATAACATACAGTGAGATCTCGTTACAACGCACCGCGTCGAAAATCTCTGATATTGTACTGGAAATTTCCTTACATCGAAATGCTCATGCATATTTTGGAACGTTGCCATCGAGTTCAATAAAACTCTGCTCTGTCTATATTTCTGTTTTATATATAAATGTAAATATATCATTTTAAATACAAGCGTGTATGTATTATGTTTCATTATTATTTACGAAAAAGTAAATCTTACAATCTTAGTGTTGGTCGATTGACTCGGTTATGACAATTTTTTATACTTTTGCTTTGGTCTTAGATCTGTTTTATATAAGTTAAAATATGCGAAAAAATTTTCTTTTTTATACATAATATTAAATATACCATAAATTAGAATATTGATAACTATAAAATATTGATAAATCATCTATTTTTTCAATGTCTTCAAAATTATAAATATAGAAACAGTAGAGATTACTAATCGACGATATGCCTCGCCGGCAAATAACATCGCATCGCTTAATGTCAAAACGTGAATGATCTTCACGTTGAAGATCATTCAATCGTATTTTGTGAAAGAAACAAAATTTTCAAGGAAAATAATATCCAATAAAAATAACATTCAAGATGTAATTGTGTAATTATCGAAGCTCCGAAATGGCCAAAGATAGTATCGACGATATCCTGGTGCGTCTCGACGAGGTCGAGAAGCTGCAGACGGAACTTCGGCATTTGGTACCACGAGTCACGAGTAACTCATCCAGACATGTCAGACATCAGGATTCATCCCGCGATACGTCCGCATCAATACGTTTCCCATCCCTTTTCACGTTTCCCATCATTTCGAACTTTACGTCGTCCTCCACACTAGAACTTGGGATCTCAACACAGAAATCGCTACGAACGTTACATCAATTATGCGAATTTTTGTTATTGTGAACCAAACAGCTTTCTGATCGTATATAAGAACAGTTTCTACAAATATTTGTCTACATTAACAGCCGATTAAACATTTATGCAACAGGGGATCGTTTCGCTTAACATTAATTAAAGTTAACTGACGTTTAAGCCGACGTTTTGTCTTTCCTAAAGACAGACGGCAACCAAAAAAGAAAAGATAATAAATCACGCAGTTAAATCTCAGTTAACTTCAATTAATCTTTACGATAGCTGTTCACACACGACAGTGCAAAGCAAACGCAATAGAATTTTCCCCAAAGCATCGGTTAAAAACATTCAGAATTTCTCAACAAGAAACACGAGATTTTTCTTTACAAGTAGCTGTGTATAATTGTATTGTGAATAGACGCACACACTGATAACGTAGCGTACACTGCATTAATTATGTGGTTCCGTAGCGAGACCAAAGTGGCTTGTGCGCTGACAACTGCGTTAAGACCAACCATTGGCTTGTGTCTTATCTCAAATAAATTCTCTGATGCTCTCTACTTTCTCTCTCTCTCTCTGTAATTGATAATATATATATGTATATATATATATTAGAATATTTTTTTTGTAATGTGTCAAATGGGTCCCATTAGCCGCTAATCACTTCATGTTTACGCCACTGGCCCGTGTTAGATACGTCGACTCGTATTCTCAATGACGTGCTCATTTTAACGAGGACGACAACTTTATCTAGCTAAACATCGAAGAACATCGAACTGTTTATGCGTATTCAAGTCTCCCTGCAGTCAGTCTGAATCTAATTGACAATGTGTATACCGAGGGTATGTGTCTCCTTGTTGTGCTGCTTGCTTGAGTTTGTCCCGCCCCCCTTTTTTTTCTATCTTCGATCTCTTTTTTTCATATTTAGTTTATTAACGACTGCTAATATCGACTACACGTATGTGTTTTGTAGGTAAATAGATATACATATTATGCCGATACCGAGCGTATGATTTTTAGCGTGAAGAATCCCGCGCTAGTCTCATCTATCACTTATATATATACATATACTCTAAACTCTATATACATTCGTATAGTTTTATAGAGTATAAATATATCCAGGGTGTTCCATAATATATGTTATTACAAAAATTGGTTGACATTCACATACTATCTCTTTTTTTCTATTTTTTATACTTAATATTTTTGAACATAAATTTTCATTTTATTTTAAATGTCATGCTTCTATTGATTATTTCCGTAATTGAATTTTCCATTAAATCTTTATTAAGCTAAAACCATTTTCTAATTCGGATACGACGATTATCAAAAACAAGTAAGATGGTGAGTGAAATGGAACATCCTGTATATCCTTGTATACCAGGCTAGTTTATCATTCTGCAGTTTGGACACAGAAGCAATGTGTCCTATCTCTTAGAATGTGATAATTTTTTTCTTCTTTTTACCTTCAAGTAAATAAAATGATGTTGCGTATATATATTTCATCTTTAAAATATTTATAACAATAATTCATCGGGACGCATTTATGAAAAAGACATGCATAATGCGCCGTGACATTTCTCTTAGGCAGAAATTCGTCACACTGTTCAATTCAACGAAACAGTGTCGTTTATTTTTTGCTACCGGAAGATATAATACGCAGCGAAATTGTATAATCATTCTTTTAGCGATTTTTTGCAAGAAATATCTTAGAAATATATGCGAAATACATATGTATACATATGTGGGAAATGTCAAAATCTTTCGTTACAGTTAGCACTTTTTAAAGTCCCGTTTGGTACATTCAGTGGCGGATCAAAAGCGGCATTTCTGAGAATGCCGCATGATTCAGGAATCTCAATATTTCTCTTTTATATATATATATATAAAAGAGAAATATTGAGATTCCTGAATCATGCGGCATTCTCAAAAATTTTTTTAAATAATATATGATTTTTGATATTACATATCAAAACTCATATATTATTTAAAAAAATTTTTCGTTTAAAACTAAAATATCGAGTATTAATTTACTAATTTTTGGTTTGTGAAATTGAATTATTACAAGGATAAATTTAGTAAGAGAGTGTACATTTCCGAGATTTATACGAGAGGCTACAGATAATTACTGTGTCTAATAAATAATCCGCCACTGGGTACATTTTAATTTACTTCTACAGAGGTAATACCGCTTACCTCTTCAGATAGTATATTTGTATTTGTCATATTTCTAAATTCGATACACAAGAGACGCTTCGTGGAAGGAGAAAAGTATCAGATCTCATCCGAGAATGATAGCGAGAAGTACCACTCCCATTAATACATGGCAATGTACGATATCGACGCGTGTTTGCAATAATATGGCACATGATCAAACACACTAATACGGCTATTAATTAACAGATCCGGTATCTGCGAGTGTAAGATAAAACTTATAAATATTTGTATCACTCTGAAGGATCTCGTGCATACATTATTGTTATAATAGTTGTATTTATAATTAGACATTACGAATGCAATAAATAAAACACATAAAAGACGCGTGCGAAAACAAAAATAAATAATCAACAGAAAGTTTATTTCCCCCAGATATACTTAATTTTATTTTTTTTTACAATGCACATTAACATCTTGATTTTTTACATTAAGGCGAGGGTCACGTGAATACTCTTTTTTTTTCTCAAGCATCTCATTTGGCTTATCATTATTGTTATCTGCCGTCGCAGATGCACATACTTCGCTCTTTCTCGCTTTCGCGTATGTAATACTATTACCCTTTTCGTACTGTTTCAAATCCCCGGTGAAAAAAAAAATTGCTCTATAGATTTCTCGAGCAATGTTCCCGCTGCCGCACGCGCGCTTCGCAATCAAGGAAGCGGAAGAGGAAGGACCTCTACCTTGAGGGATATGTTTGTATGTGTATATATGTGTGTGCGCGCGCGTGTGATGATGTCGCACGTGCAATTGTGTACCATCGAAGCGATTCAACAAATCATCTACGAAAGCACAATTCTTTTTTTCCTTGTTTTACTTAATATCACAAGGTTACGCCTAAATTCTAATTTGTGCTCTAAGCAACGCTAATCGTATATAACGTGTTATCGTGTGTCGCACGTCAAAAAGTACGATTAAGATTCAAAATTATCACCCTAGTAAGCCGTAGAATATTTTGTTCGTGCTTCGTCGAACTCGCGAGGATCGAAACTGCAATCTCGATAACTCGAGAGATTTTGTTAGATCTAGCGCACGCGAAATAATTTCTGTATTTATTGTGGGCTCTCTCTCTCTCACGATTTGATTGGCATAAT